TGTTTCGTGGATGTTTTGCTGGCTTGTGATGGGGTGTGAACCGACAGTCTGTAGAGTTTTCCATCTGGTGTGGGTGATTGATAGTCTACTTTGATTTTGGTTAAGGTAGATTATCATTTACAGTGTAATCAATGAGGGGATTCTGTAGACTGTTGAGGGTTCAGCCTCCTGATGAGTCGGTGAAACTCCGGCGAAACAATTTGTCACAGCCTCTCGTTTGTTGTCCTCTTCTCTCTCTTTGCCTACGGTTTACCGGGCAGTTCTGTTTGTGATGATATATATAGCAGATCTACCAAATATTTGTGGCCTRACAGCCACGAATGTTTGTCTGCGAGCTTATCAGCGTCAAGGTTATACTGTATCTCAATTTCTTACAATTGCTTATCAGCTTGACGCTGTTGAAAATGAGTTGTGGTATGACCATAATGGTCTACCTCCTGAGGACAGTAATTATACTACCTCAGGAGGCTTTACTRTAAATGTCTTACAGCTAGCGTTTCACGGTCGCCACCTTGTCATGCATTATGGGACGCCAGGCGAGGACCTTGATGCCCGTCCTCATATTCTCGCATGCATTCTGCACAAACCTGGGCACTATATGGCCCTCTTTCGTGCAGCTGCCCAGTGGGAACTGTGGGATGGTGGGACGGTGATTCAGGTTATTGTCAACGTAAATGAATTCTTGCGAGGTTTGTCAAATCATACACTGTTCTGGATTGTTGAGCGTCTCTCGTGCGACATTTGTCGAGATAGAGACGTGGTGCGTCTTGGTTGTGGAGTGCATTATCTGTGTCAGCACAATTATCAATCCACTGCGACTGCCGCCGTATGTGCGGAAGGGTGTCTAACATTTCCTCATTGTGCACATCCCTATCACCCAGATGTACGTTGACCGTTTTCCAATGATGCTATTAGAACTGCATGATGCCGCACTGTGACGAACGTCCTGCTGTTTTCTTGACATGTGGGCAACATGTTCTATGTCGGGATTGTTTCAATGGGATGGTTCGTGTTAGCCGTCCGGCTGAATGCTGCACTAACGCAACTCTCCTTGGGTATCCCTGTGAACATCCCCGTCATCCTCACCGTAGTTGTCCTATCTGCCGAGGGGGTGACAAATGAAGTGTAGAAGAAACAGATAAAAAAAGAAACTGAGTACAAAGATAAAAAAAGAAACCGAGGAAAGAAAAACACAAAAAAAGAAACCTGAGAAAAAAGAAAAAAGAAAAAAGAGAAAAGAAAAATATGTTATGTGGGATGGTAATTGGATTATCTGTGGGATGTGTACTTGCTTCGTCTGTCTAATACTGTTTAATAGGCTTTCTTCTTCTGTGAGGTTTGGTTTCCTCCGCCTTTTTTTTACCTCTTTGCCTTTTGGCTGCGTGCAAGTGGGTCATTATGACACACAGGGATGGGGGCAGCCAGCGTTCAACCTGTCATCCACGTGGCTGGCCTTGTACGTAAGAGGTTATGAACAGGTGGAGCTTTCATTACCTCTTCTTCTCCCCCTTTTTTCTTTTCTCTTCTTTTCTTCTTCCTTTTTTTCGCTTCTGCGCTCTGATTCACAGTGTGACAATATATACACTCTTTCTGTTTCTGACATTCTTCAACATCTTCGGTTTATTGTTACAAATACATATTTGTATACAGCGGATGGCATTGTTCATCATCAAGATGTCGGTATCCCTATGGGTACAAACGCTGGTCCTGAGATTGCCAATCTTACACTCTATTGGGATGAGGCGCAGTACGTGGACAACCTGCAGCGTGTGGATCCCTCTGCTGCTCGCCGATATGCTTTTACATATCGGTTCATTGATGATGTTCTTACCTTTGATTGTCTGCCACCATCATCAGCCCATTATGGTCTTGAATGGAAGGAGACCACTGCGGCAGATGGCTCGTGCACCTTCTTAGGTGCGAAACTG